GGAGCGATCATTTGGCGGCGCGCAAAAGGGGGTAGGGGGAAGGGGGAGGGCTTCTTAGAAGGAGGCTGCTTCTTAGAAGGCGCCGGCCTTACATCTAAAAATAAGGCCCGCGCCTTCTAAGAAACACGGGTGCTTCTAAGAAGCCCTCCCTCCTCCCCCCACCCCCCTCTGCGCGTGGCTGAATCATGTCTGGGGAGGGAGAACGCTCACGCGGCCACGGCCGCTGCGGAGCGGACGGGGCGGCCCACCGGACCGGCAGGCGCCAGCCACGCACACGAAACGCCGCGCCCCGCGCTCGCACTCGCGCCGCGAGCCTCCTCTGCGGCCGCAGGCCGCCCGACGCCGCGCACCGGCCGCAGCTCGGCGCGCGCACGCCGAACTCCTGGCGTTACGTCGGGCCTGTCCCTCTCGGCGGCGACGGTAGGGGCGAACAGCCCAGGGGCGGGCATTACTTACACGTATTCGCCCCGGAGCCTTTTCGAAGACATAGATCATCGGCGCACCTGGATACATGTATTGCTTTCCCCTGGGCTATTCGGCCCTATCGTCGCCTCCGACCCTCTACAAGAGGAGTGTTCAAAAACAGTCGAACAAATAATATGGGAACGATTTGTTTGCCTCTTTTCGAACATATTCTTGCATACTTTTGGGCTATCTCTTATGTTACCTCCCAAATCCACCTGTCGGGGCACATGCCCGACCTCATCCTGGCGCGCCACCGCTGCGCCTCCTCGCCCCGCCCGGTGCTCCTCTCGCCGGACGCACTGGCCTGCCTGGCTCAGAATGAAAGAAAAACACGCCGTGCGGAAACCAGATTGCGAACCCTACCCCTACCCCCCACGATTTCTGAGGGGGAGGGTGGGGTTCACTTCGCCCTCCCTCCCTCCCCTCAGAAATCGTGGGGCGTAGGGGTATGGTTCGCATCTGGCCCCCTAGCCGTGCGCATAAACCTCTTGGCGCTCCCCGCGCCCCCCTCCTACCGGCGCGCGGAGCGCGCCAGGAGCGGCGCCCGAGGCGCCGGCGGGGGGGGGGGCCCAGCGCGGATCCAGGAAAAATCCGCGCGGAGCGCCGAGAGTTTATGTTTGTGGCGTCGTTTTCGTGTGGTCCTTCGATGCCTGCCCGCGTGCTCCTCGGGCCAAGGACCTGCCATCGCTTGGACTAGCCCCCCCCCCTTCCGTGCATCTGTCGGTTTCGTGCGTGGTCTCTCGGCTCTCTCGGCTCGATGGGCCGAGGACATACGCACACGTCCGGGCGATGCCAAAAGGAAGCGCTTCTTTCCTCTCGCCGCTTTGACGTTGCACTCACTGTAGGTCAGAGCCGGACTCCTTTCTCTTTTTCTTCCTCCTCCTCCTCCACAAATGCACAATCTGAACACTACTCTCCTCTCTCCCCTGATAACGTCCGGAAGATGTCCGGCCCCCTTCCGCGCACTGCTTTTTAAACACAAGATTCCCGGGAGTTGGGTTTTCGTTTCTTCTGTTTGTGTTTCAAAATGCTGCTCCCGCTGAAGCGCTGGCCTAATTTTCGGGCTTCCGGTCGTTCCGAATCGTGCTTCCGCTGCAGCGCTGGCTTCATTTCCACACTTCCGCTCGTGCCGAATCGTGCTCCCGCTGCAGCGCTGGCATCACTGTTTCCCATGCCCATGCAATGCTATGTGGTGATCCGCTGAGCGATGCCATGCCTTCAGCTGCAATGCTAGGATATCCAATGCTTGACTACGCAGTGCCACGCAATGCTATGCCATGCTACGCTTTGATATTCAACGCCATGCTGTGTCATGCTCTGATCTTTGCCGCTGTGCGATGCTATTATTTGCGTTGCAATGCTTTGTGATGCAATTCTTCACTACACAACGCCACGCCATGACATACTACGCTCTGCCGTGCTCTTCTACGCCCTGCTACGCCGTACTCTACGATGCATCGCGCACCCTCTCGGGATCACTGCCCTGCTCGACACCCGACTGTGCGAACAGAGGGGAGATCTGCGCCGTGGTAAGGGATGGCCCAGCCCTCCCATCCCGGATGGGAGGGATGGGGTAGGACGTCAGAAATGACGCGAGCGCATCTCGTTCGTCCTGCTCCCCCTCCCCCGCCCTCCCTCCCCCTTGCATTTGTTCCTCCTGCCTTCCTCGCCCTAGCTGAGATCCACGCGGGGCTTGTCCCAGATCATCTTCCTCTGGGGGCGGGCGCCAGCGAGAGGAGGGGAATCGTAGAGGTCCAGGCTTAGGTCGGGCATGTCCCCCTACAGGTGGATTTGGGACGAACAATCGAAAATAGTCCAAACAGATTCACAAGTAGCCAAAAGATACTTAAACCAGATCGTCTCCTGACTATTTGTTGACTGGTTTGGAATCTTTCTCAAGTAGAGGGACAGGCCCGACTTCAGCCCAGGCCTGCGACGGCTCTCGTGATGCAGGATCGCTGACCCCTCGGGCTCTGGCCCCCCCTCGGCCCCTGGGCTGGGCCTTTCCTCGCGAGCCGTGCCGCGACAGCGCCACATGGCCTGCAACGGGCTCCTGGGTTTAGGTCGGGCATGTCCCACTGCGGGCGGATTTTGGGCGGGAGCAAATAGGCAAACAATCTGCCCAAATGGTCAAAGAATAACCGGCAAATCGTCCCCAGGCTACTTTCTGATTATTCTTGTAAAACATTCCTCCTGTGGAGGGACATGACCGACTGACTTTAAGGTGCCCGAATTGAGGAGCTGCCTGCCGCCGCGATTCTGGATGCCCGAATGGAGGAGCAGCCTGCCGCCGCGATCCCGCCGTGACGCCGTGTCCAGAGGCACGCGAGCAGTGCACGCTGCGCAGGCCAAGCGCCCGCACGCGTCCGCTGGGGGGGGGGAGGCACGAGTCCGCCGCCACGAGATGAGGCAGGGCGGAGGGGAGGCGAGGAGCACGAGGAAAGGAGGAGAGGGGAGGCACGGATGGGGGGCACCGGACGGGGCAGGACGAGCGAGAGAAGGAGAGAGGAGAGGAGGAGGCAGCGGGGAGGGAAGAAGGGAGGGAGGGAGGGAGGCCGGAGAAGGAGGAGAAGGAGGAGGAGGAGGAGGAGGAGGCAGATGCAGACGCCATCACCTACCAAAGCCATCGCCTCGCCAGAGGGGGGGGGAGCCGAGGGCCTGCAGCGCGGCCGGGCACGGGCGGCGGTGCGCGCGCCGGCGGGGGTGGTGGCGAGGGGCGCGGCCCCTCTTGTGAGAGGGCAGGGGCGAGAACGAGATGGCCCTCCTCCTCCTCCTCCTCCTCCTCCTCCCCCTCCTCCTCCCCCTCCTTCTCCTCCTCCTCCTGCTCGTCCTCCTCCTCCTGCTAGTCCTCCTCCTCCTCCTCCTGCTCCTCCTCCTTCTCCTCCTTTCTTGTTGGCGGCTTCCTGTCGGGCGTTGGCGGGGCAGGGTTCTGTGGGACCTGGTTCAGTGATGCGTACCGCACCAGGGCATCTATGGGAACGACCAAAGACGTAAACATAGTACCTCGGAGGTCCGCGCGGATTTCTCGGATCGGCGCTGGGGCCCCCTGGCAAAGCCTCCGGCGCGGCCCCTGCCGCGCGAGGGGGGTCTCCCCCGCGCCCCGTCTCACGGACCTGAACTGCCGGCACCCGGAGCAGCACCAGCTGCGGCAGACTTGGCTTGGCGATCCTGGCCAGTTCGGGGGCCCAAACATGCGATGTCCTGGCTTTTTCGATACGGGGCTCCTGGAAGTCCCGACCCGTTCCCCAGGACCGGCTGTTCATCCTGAGTCCTTTTTTGACGATCCCGAGGCCCAGCGAGGGCCCCCTGAAGCTGAAATTGGCCGAACACCTCTCGCCGTGATTTTTTTGTTACGACGCGATCATGTCTTGGGGGCTTCGGGGCCCAATCACCAACGGGCTCGGGGCCCAATCACCAAGCGGCTCCCCTTCTCCGGGTCCTTCAGGCGCCGCAGAGGGGGGTGGGGGGAGGGGGGAGGGCTTCTTAGAGCACCCCTGCTTCTTAGAAGGCGCATGCCTTCTCTATAGTCTATAGATGTAAGGCCGGCGCCTTCTAAGAAGCAGCCTCCTTCTGAGAAACCCTTCACCCCTCCCTCCACCCCATTGTGTTGTGGATGCCACGACAATGGACACCCTAACAGTCCTATCATCGAATTAAACTGTGTTTAAACTCTCGGGGAATGTCATGACCATGTTTCAAACATTGTTTTAGTTTTAAAAATGGTTGAAACAGTTCTAACACACTTCCTAGACATCTGGAAATTATTTGGCAACACGCTTCCTCTCCATTGATCGTCCTCCACAACCCTTGTGCGTACCGCCAGGTCCTGGCTGCACCCTACCTGGGAGCTTCTGGGGCTCCTCGCCCCGCCGCGGCGGGACGCGGCTGGGGAAACAAAGCCAGGGTGTGCCCACGGGGCGGGCCCGAGGGCCGGCTTCCGAGAGGATGCCTGGTCGTGGGTACATTAAGGGCCAAGGGCGCGGCCTCCTGAGAGAGCGGGGGTGGGGGTCTCTCTCTCAGAAGGGTCCCCGCCCCTTCCTTGAATGGGGCCCAGGGACACACACACAAAGACACAGACGCGAATCCCAGGATCCCCCATGTGTTTACACCTCTTCTGGACGCTCGTCTTTCCCCTCACGTTTCGTAGTTCGGCAGTTTTTTGGAGAGGACTACCATTTGTGCATGTGTCGATCTGTCTCTCCTGATTCTTGAGAGCTCCTCAGGGGGGCACCCTCGAAAGCTAGGACGGCTTCTGGAAAAACGCGCTCTCCCGACAATAGGAGGCCGCCCCCCGCCACCGACGGAATTGCCGCAAGAGAAATACGGCTGCTCCCCCCCCCCCACCCCCACCCCCTCTCCCCCCCCTAACACTGCATAACACTAGGTCGGGCATCTACATGTACAGGCTGATTTGGGATAAAAAAATCAAAAATACCCAAAACATGCCAACAACAATACCCCCAAAAGTTAACAATCCTCGCTGGACTAGTTTTGTCTATTTTGGAATAGTCCTCCTGTAGAGAGACAGGCCCGACTTCAGCGTAACACCGCAACGCAAAGCGCTATGGCGAAATACCTGGGCTGGGGAATCCTCTTCTGTGAGATAGGAACTGGGCCCCCAAGGCTCAAGATGCACCTCTTACGGGATGCACCTTCGACCCACCACATCCCTATCAAAATCTTCGATGTAGGATGCACCTCGTGCGGGATACATCTTCGACTCCGCGCATCCCTATCAACATCTTCGATGAGATCTCACAGCGAGGAATTACCCAACACACGATTAACTGAATCTCCAGAGACATGTATCCGTGCACACTTTTGAACCGAATCTGAAACACATCTCGAGCCAAAGTGTTGCCTCACAATATCTTCGTGATCACTCCTTGAGAACATCCGCCCCGAAACATTTCACACCCCCAACACATCTCAACCGAACCCATCTGGGATTTTCTCACTTCCCAGAATGTCATACGGGATCAATAGGTGAGCCGCGAAACCCAAAAGCCTCTCGCGGCTCTCTCTCCAAGGCCCAGCCGGGCCAATGCGAGTGTCCTGGGCGCCCCCAACCTCAGAAGTGTTTCTGGACAGTACAACAAGTGTGAAAGATATGTTGCTACAGATGCAGCGGGAGTTGTTGTCGCTGGTGAGTTATCGCCATAGGTGTTGCGCGTGCATGTTGTTCTGGAGGTGTTGCCGACTATGCTGATAGGGGGGGCTCGAATTCTTCCCCGGAGCGCAGGCTTCCGCAGGAGATCTTCTGCAACATATTGCGAGCGGCTCGGGAACTGCTGACTGAGATTCGGAGGAAGCTCTTGGCAACGTGTTCGGGCGATCCTCACGAAGATCACTTCCCCCAGAGAAACCGTTGAGACCTCTGGCGGATGATGTTTCTGCACCGACGTCACGAATATAGGTACGACGCTTCTGGACAATGAGGGCTGGAGTGTTACGAGGAGGAGGATGGGGGGCGAGGGGAGACAGGGGCGAGGCGAGGAGGGAGGGGAGGAGAGCGGGAGAGAGGAGGAGGGGAGAAGGCGGGAGGGAGGAGGAAGGGACGACGAGAGGAGAAGGAGCAGAGGTCCAGTGCATACCCAAGACCCCAAGAACGATGTTGCAACACACCCTCCCTCCAAAACTCCCTCTTCACACGTCCAGGCAAGGGTTGATTGTCACCGAGGGAAATACCCCCGTTGGAAGGCAACCGTCTGAAAACCCCGAACCGTGCCAAAAAACATCACTCTTGGGGAATCAAGCGCCGCACACTAACGGTGCTGTTGCGTCCTGGTGATGCTGGGCCATGGTATAGAACACCATTCCCGGGACTTCCACTCTGCGAATCCACGGGACGGTTGTGCCCTCACAGTCCTACGCCGTGACAAAACATGATACCTGGGACGCCAGCCAGAAGAACGGCTGTACTCGCAAAACGAATGTGCGAAGCGCTGCAGCGAGCGCTACAGGTTGACCCCCCCCCTCCACTCGCGAAACGCCTGCAAACGTTAGGACAAACGTGCGTGGCTGCGTGGCGCTTAAGTGGGAACCACAATTTCAGAAAGAACCGCACTCAATCCGTGCGGATCCTGCTGCACACGTCAGAAACGGATGTGCGCGGCACTCGGGCGAGAATCGCATCTTGAAATCCACTCACCCTCCACCCATGAAGCTCTTGCAAATGCTCAGCCGCATGTGCGCGGCGCTGAAGCGAGAATGGCATGTTGAAAACCACCTACCCACAATTCAAGCTCAAAGATGCTGACTGGAAAAGCACTATCAGGCGAAACGCCGGGCCCGCCATACCGACGCTTCTCGGGGTGCGACGTGCGGGAGGTATTTATGAGGAGAAGGATGCAACGGGAGGACGGAGGAGGTTGAGAGGAGGAGGGGGGGAGGAGAAGGGAATGAGGACGGGAGGGAGAAGGACAGCAGGGAGGAAGAGGGGAGCAGGAGCAGGACGAGGATGAAGAGGAGGACGAAGGAGGGGGAGGGGAGGGGGGGGGGGAGGGAAGGAAGATGGGAGGAGGGGAAAGGAGGGGGGGAAGAGGGGCGGAGAATGACACCGCCAGGCCTCGTGCAGTCCGCCATGATCGGCGACCTCGGCTGCACGCGAGCTCGTCCACTTTCTCCTTGCCCTCCTCACTCCTCTTCCTCCTTCTCCTCCTCGTCCTCGCCCCCCTAGCTCCCCGCTCACGTTTCGCTCCTCCCCTGCATCTCGATTCTCCTGTACCCTTCATCGCCCTCCTCACCCCTCTTTGCCCTCCCTCTCCTCCGGAGGAGGGGGATGAGGAGGAGGAGGGGGTGGAGGAGGAGGAGGAGGAGGAGGAGGAGGAGGAGGAGGAGGAGGAGGAGGAGGATAGGGGAGGAGGAGGAGAAGGATTTTTTGCCCGCTCAGGAACATGTCCAGGGGCAAAACATTACGCCTGCTGCAACCGATTAAAGGCCTTGGCCGCCTGGGAGTGCCCTGGCCAGGCCCCACGCTCGAGCAGCTGGAGGTTTCCCAACCCCGACCTGGTAGGAGGGCCACGCATCACCGCGAGGCCTCTCAAAACCGCGTTCTCCCTCGCAGAGCACAGCCCACACGTGGAACAGAAAAGCACTGGAACTTGGGCGCGGGCTCTGGCTCGAAAGAGGGCGGGAGGTTCCTTTTCAAAATGTGGCCGTCGACTCAGCGCTGCGCACATTCGTCTCAACATCTTACAGCAATTTCAAGGATTGGAAAGGTTGGAAGTTCCCGGAACGGTATTCTGACGCCATGTAGGAGCGTCGGGGCGCAACAGTCATGTGGATTCGCGGCGTTGAAATTGCAGGAATTGCGTGTTGGTGCGATTCAGGCTTATCAGGACGCAACAATCACGTTGATTCGCGGCGTTGAATTCACGAGAACGATGTTTCGGTATGATCTGAGATGTCCCCTAATCTCTGAGATTGGCAGGTGCCCGAACCCGGTCATACATATATATATATATATATATAAATGAAACGTAAGACTGTAGTTGCATGGCCCGTTTCTGGTCCTGGCGAGGCATCTCCCCTTGATGGGGCCTGTGTTGGATTATTGGGACGATTGTCTTTCACCGAGCCACTTCCTGCAATGACAAACAAATATTGTAGGGACTGATTGAAAAGGAACTCGACAGGATGGTTTGTGCAACGTCCTTGACGCGTTTTTGGGGTTATACTGGTCCCCCCTCCTCCGCCTACTCCCACTCCTCCTCCGTCTTCCTCCTCCAACTCCATTTCCTCAACCCTCCTCATCCTCCTCCTCGCTCCTCCCCCTCCTCTTCTTCCTCCTCCTCCTCCTCCTCCTCTTCCTCCTCCTCCCCCTCTTCCTCCCCTCGCAGCCGGGGCCGCGGCATCAACAGCGCGGGCAAGCCGCGCAGCTGGTCCCGGTGCACCAGGGCGGCGGCCTTCTGGTGGTCCTCCCGGTGATGTGCGCGCGCGCGTGCGTGCGCGCGCGCATGTGTGTGCGTGTGTTGGTGTGTGTGTGTCTGTGTGTGTGTGTTTGTTTGTGCGGAGGTGGGTGCCTCATCTCCATTCCCTTCTCCCCCATCCACCCGCCCTCCCAACTGCTCCTCCACCTTGTCCTCCGCGTCCGCCTTCAGCTAGTACTGCTCCCACTTCTAATCCTCCTCATCCTTCCCTGCTTCATCTCGCGCGTGTCCATCGGGTCTCCCCCGCGCAACCAGTCAGGCCCACCGTTCAAGACGCCGCGTTCCTCTCCGTGCAACCCGCTCCATTGCTGTTCTCGCACCACGCGACCACCGTTCTACTACGCACGTGCACCACCACCACCACCACCGTCTCTTCCACACTTCCTCCTCCTCCACCTCCTCCTCCTCCGTCCTCACCACTCCTCTGCCATCATCTTCCTTCATCCATCCTCGCCCCTCCTCAGCATGTACTCCTCCTTCGCCTCCGTCCTTCCTCCTCCTCCTCCTCCTCCTCCTCCTCCTCCTCCTCCTCCTCCCCTTCCTGCTCCTCCTCCTTCCCCTGCTCCGTCCTTCTCGGAGGAGGAGGAGGGGGAGATATCAAAAGGCGGAGGAGGAGAAGGAGAAAGCTAAGGGAAAGGATGAGGTGAAATGGGACTTGGAAGGGAAGGGCGAGAAGGATGGGCGAGACGAGGCGGGGAAGGAAGAGGGGAAGGAGGTGGATAAAGGATGGCAAGGGAAAATGGGATGGGGAGGAATAACAGGCAGAGGGAAGAGGGGGAGGAGGAAAATGAACATGACCCAGGCAGGAAGATGGGGAGGTTGGAGCGGGACGGGGAGGAGGGGGCTATGGATGACGGCTGGTGAGGAAGGGGGGGGAGCGCGGGGAGAGGAGGTGGAACGTGGAAGGGATGGCACGGGGAAGGGGGCGGAGAGAAGAAACGCGGGAATGCCGAGGGCTTGCGGAGGGGACCGGGGGCCTGAGAAAGACGCGACGATGCTGGCCAGGTGCTACACATTTGCCACCCCCCTCTCCCAGTCATCCCCCCCCTTTCGCTCGACCCGGTGGGGCACAATGGGGAAGGGGCTCGGAGCGGGGCGAGTCGAGACAGTGACCCTGGCAGCTCAACATCGGTTCCCGCGACGTCCTCCTCCCCTCCTCCTCCCACTCCTCCTCCTCCTCCTCCTCCTCCTCCCACTCCTCCCCCTCCTGCTGGGCCCGGGCGCCACCAGCTCTCCGCGCTGCGGCCAGCCGAGGCGACGGGGACACCCCGAAGGCCAGCCACCGTTGCCTCGACTCGGCCTCCTCTGATGCGGCGGCGAGCGAGGGGGGCAAGTGAGCAGGAGGAGGTCCTTTCAGAAGGCGGCGGGACCTTTCTCTAACCCTTCGCGCCCTCCGAGAAGCGTGCTCTCTGTCTGCAGGGGAAGGCTCAAAAAGCTCCTCAGAAGGCCCGGTGGCCTTCCAGGCCTGCTGAGAAGACCTTTTCTCACTCCTCCCCCCCGAGTTCGCCGCCAATCCTCTGATGGGCACACAAACACACACCACACACCACACACACAACACACACACACGCACATTCGTGGGCCCTGGAAACGACATGGAAGATTTGGTTCCCGGTTCCGTTTCGCCGTTTTCGAGCCGGCTTGGTCGCCATTGTTTTGCTGGTTCCTTCGTCGTTGCTTTTGCGGTTCCCGTTGCGGTTCTGGTTCCCGAAGCCGTTGTTTGCCGTATCCTGTCGCCTTTTTTCTTGACGCTTCCATTTTCAAGCGACGCTTTATCGAAAACGGTGGAAAACGGCCCTGCCGCTTCCGGGGGTCCACTAAGCTTAGGTCGGGCGTAACCACCTGCAGGCGGATTTTGGACGAACAATTAAAAGGACCCCCTAAATGCTCAGACACTTGATTTTTTGTTTTTTGTTTTTAAAGAGCATCCCCAGGTAATGTTTGGACTGTTTTTGAATTTTCCTCCCGTGAAGGGGCAGGCCCGACTTAACACTAACCACACACATGCCTCGGATGTCTCGCCATGCCCCGAGCCCGCCGGCAGGCGCCTTGCAGGCACGCCACGGAGGAGAAATGTAGGAACGAGGGGGAAGGGAAAGAACGGATGGGACGGGAGAGGGCGTCCTCCTCCCTCCTCCTCTCCGCCTCTCCTCCTCCTCCTCCTCCTCCTCCTCCTCCTCCTCCTCCTACCTCCTCCTCCTCCTCCTCCTCCTCCTCCTCCTCCTCCTCCCCTCGCCTCCTCCTCCTCCTCCTCCTCCTCTTTCTTCTTCCTCTTCTTATTATTATTCTTCTTATTATTTCTTCTTCCCTCCTCCTCCTCCTCCTCCTCCTCCTTCCTCCTCCTCCTCCTCCTCCTCCTCCTCTCGCTCCTCCTCCTCCTCCCCCTCGTCCTCCTTTCTCCTCCTCCTCCTCCTCCTCCTCCTCCTCCTCCTCCTCCTCCTCCTCCCCCTCGTCTCCTTCTCCTCCTCCTCCTCCTCCTCTTCTTCTTCTTCTTATTATTCCTTCTCTATTATTATTATTCTTCTCCCTCCTCATCCTCCCTCCTCCTCTCCTCCTCCTCCTCCTCTCCTCCACCCTCCTCCTCCTCCTCCTCCTCCTCCTCCTCCTCCTCCTCCTCCTCCTCCTCCCTCCTCCTCCTCCCCTCCTCCTCCTCTCCTCCTCCTCCTCCTCTCTCCTCCTCCTCCTCCTCCTCCTCCTCCTCCTCCTCCCCCTCGCCCTCCTCCCCCAACCTCCTCGCCGCCCGCGCCTGCGCCTCCTCCGCGCAGGAGGTGGAGAGGGGAGGACGGGGCGGAGGGGAGTGAGAAAGGGGCTGGGTAAAGGGGGCGGAGGGGCGGAAGGGCGGAGGGCTGGAGAGGAAGACCGGAGAACGGGGGAGAAGAGGAGGAGGGAGGAGGAAGGGGACGAAAGAAGGGCGGGGAGGAGAGGAAGGGAACGAAAGAAGGACGGGGAGTGCGGATGCGAAGGTGCACGAGCCAGGATGGTGGAAACTATCCTCCTCCTTCCCTCCTCACTCCTCACCTTCTCCATCCCACGCTTCCTCTTTCTCTATGTTCTCCACATCACTCTCTAAAGCCTCTCCAGCCCACTTCCTCCCCCTCTTCCCTCCCCCGGCTAATTACTTCTACTTTCCCCTCATTCCCCATCATGCGGCTCCTGCTGCTACTTCCTGGTGTATCGACTTATTCTCCCCTCGCCCTCCTCCTTCTCGTTATCGCACTCGCTGCACTCCGTGCCCCGCCTTGTCCTTCTCTATCCGCCCTTCCCCGACCTCCTCTTCCCTCCTCCCCCCCCCAATGCCGAATGGGGAGCAATCGGCGGCCCAAACTCGCACCGCTCTGCCCATCCATCCCCGATGCACTGGCGATCGCGGCCTGGAGAAAGCCCGGCTTTGCATCGCAGCATCGGCGGTGCGGTGCGGTCTGGTGGCCCTGGTCTCACCAGCCCCGTCTGTTGAGGAGGCCCGTGGCTCCCCCTCCGCCTTTCTCTTTCCCGTAGCGGCGACAACCGACGGCCACCGACGACCACGGACGACGACGGCGACAACGACGACTGCTGGCGACAGCAGCGGCGACCGACGGACACCCGCGACAGGGACCGACGCCGCTGGCGGCGGATACGACACGGCCCCAGCGAGGCCCGCCTGGGCCCAGCTCGTGAGGCCCTCCAGGGTCGCGGCGACCAGCCTGGCCTGGGGTGGTGGCAGCGAGCGGGCGCACATTGTCCTCGTCGTCGCCGTCATCATCGGCCGCCGCCAGTCGTCGTCGTTGGCGTCTTCGCCGGCGTCCGTCGTCGTTTTCGAAATTCTCGTCGTCTGTCGTCGTCGCCGTCGTCGCCGTCGCCGTCGCCGTCGCCGCCGTCGCCGTCGCCGTCGTGGTCGACGTCGTCGTCGTCGTCGTCGTCGTCGTCGTCGTCGTCGTCGTCATCGTCGTCGTCGGTTGTTTGGAGTACGGGTGGCTACAAACGGACGGGCGGGGTGGCGGGCGACGAGGTGCACGCAGATCCAGGCGTGGTCAAAGTATCCTTGCGCAGGGCCCAACCACGATGTCGAAAACCCAATACCAAAAAACGTAGTCATCTCTTGGGGGCACATGTTTTACTTCCGCC